CTCCTCCTCCTACTCATACTCCTGCCTCTCCTCCTCCTCCTCCTCCTCCTCCTCCTCCTCCTCCTCCTCCTCCTCCTCCTCCTCCTCCCCCTCCTCCCTCTCCTCCCTCTCCTACCTGTGGTAGTGGTGGTGGAACATCGGCCCATCAGGCGTTGCCCACATCGCCGTTCGCTTGTCTACGGATCGAGGGCGAGGAGGACGGGGGGCCTCCCGAGGGCGAGGCGGTGGCGCATACCTTCGGGCCCCGTACTCGCTCTCTCCAGCGCTGCTCCTGCCCGCGGGACTCGGGGGCGGGCCCCGGGAGCCCGACAACCTGCCACCGCTCGGACGGCCATTCCCCGTGCATTTTTGTTTCGGCTTCGTGCGTGCACGTGTCGCAAGATGATCCGGGACACTCCTCGATGGTGCCCGCCGAGGAAAAACAAACGCACCCGTCCGTGCGATGCCAGGACAACGGGGAAGAGACTCCAAAACCCTTCTCCTCCAAAACACGCTCTGGAGAAAACGACCCGTGACTGGACCTGGCGGGAGCGGGCCCGAAGCACCCTCCCGAGAACTGGAAAAAGTGGTTCGCTGACCGACCTGCCCAGATGGGATTACTACAGTAGGAGCTCGACCACAAGAACCCTTCCACAGGGAACCCAACCCTGAGACCCCAGGACGTCCACTGATTTCTGGTATGGGGGCGTCACCTTTTCCAGCGTAGAACCATCGAAACCAAAGAGAAACCCAGGGCACCCTGGAAGCAAGCAGGGTGTTTTCTTGGCATGAGTTTTCGCTGTAACTATCCACCGCCGACCTCCCGGAACGACTCTCCTCCCGCTGGGACCCCTCCCCTTTCACGGCGAATGCTGGACGCCCGACATGAGTACGTCAGGGTCGTGTCATGCCAACTTCTGCGTTGGTTTTTGACACCGCGGGGATCGTTCAGCCTTGAACGATCGGCCGTTTCCGAAACGTCCAAATCGTTCCACATCGAACGATTCTGGATCGCCCGCGGCGTTCATCGTTGAACGCCGCTGGCGGGGTCGCCGCCGGTCAACACGACACGAACCTACCGTACGTAAAAAAATTGCCACCTGGCCAACAGCACCTGCTGTCCAAAACAGCAGCGGCCGCTGCTGGGCAGGGGGCCTTGCCTTCCGTCTCGGAAGGGCAGCGCCCGCGCTGACGCGCAGAGCCCAGCTCCGCGCGGACAGGAACTGCCGTTGGACCTTCCGGCCGCAGGGGCGCAGCGGTGGGTGGGGGGGGGCACCAGAGCGCACAACCTCCTGAACCCCCCCCCCCGTCGGCCCGGACGCAGCCCTCCTCCCCCCCCCGACTCGGCCCTCGGCGCGGCGTACGAGACAGACGGCTCTCGGGTCGTGCCTACTGAGGGCCCCCCTCCCCCCCCCCCCCACGCGCTCTCCGGGCCAGCCGGGCGTGCCCAGCCCGACCCTGCCCGAAGCCGGGGCAAGCGAAAATGACCACTTTTTCCGCACTCACCGGTCGGAAGAAGTAGGTAGAAACACGAAGCAGGGAGGCGTTGAAAGCAGATTGGGTGTCCGCCCGCCCCCTGAGGACGGGAAAGGTGCAGCCACTCCATCATTGAAGCAGGAAGGCGCCCTAAGTAGATTGGAATCTGGGGATTCAAACAAAAAACCTACTTTCAACGACCGATGGGTACCCATTTCGATCGCCTGGCGGCGAGGCCTGCACCATGCAGTCCACGTGCGCGTGGCCCGCGGAGCCGCGGCAGGCACAGCCTGTGGGTACCAGCGGGCCCGCCGCGCCCCCCTCGCAGCACACCCAGCAGAGGCGCTCGCACGGGCCCTCGCCCATGGCAGCAACAAAAAGCCCAGGCGCCTGCGCCGACGAGGGCTGCGGGCGACAGTCCTCTCCTCCTCCTCCTGCTGCTCCTCCTCCTCCTCCTCCTGCTCCTCCTCCTCCTCCTCCTCCTCCTCCTCCTCCTCCTCCTCCTCCCCCTCCTCCTCCCCCTCCTCCTCTTCCTCCTCCTCCTCCTCCTCCTCCCCCTCCTCCTGCTCCTCCTCCTCCTCCTCCTCCTCCTCCTCCTCCTCCTCCTCCTCGAAGGGGGGCCTGGGACGGCCCGACTCTGAGGAGGCCCGTGCGACTCCGAGGAAAGGCCTCCCCGGGGACCTCCGCAGGGCGATCGCTGGAGACCCACCTTCGCCGGCGCCTAAGCGATGCATCGGCTATGCGGCGCGATCCTCCGAGCACACACATGTGAACGACGATCGAAAGCGCGTCTTGCGCGAGGTGGCGTAGCGACCTCGCGCCGCGGCTTGCGCGGGCCGCCAGCGCGGCACGCCACGTCGGAGACGAAGGCGTTTCCGCCCGACCTTATGCGGGCAACTGGCGCGCCAATGTCGGCGCAGACGACCCCATTTTTTCGGTCTCTCACATGCTCTGGCACCACCTGGGCGGCTTCGGGGAGCGGGTCCTGGACTCCCGTGCTCTCCCCAGAAGCATTCCTTCATCCCGAGTCGTCGCGTGAGAGCCCTGGCCCCTTCCTCCCCGCCCGCGGCAGAGGCGGCTCTGGAAACGTGCCAGGGGATGCGCCGGTTGCACTTTACGCTGGTGGGTCCTAGGCCAGAACTTGATGAGGCAGTCTGCTTCTTGTCCGGGAGATGTTGTATCGTTGGGCATGTGAGCGTCTGGAAACGTCCCCCGTCACCTCACCGCCCCTCCCTCCGCCCCTCCCCCTCCTCACCATCGCCCTGCACCCCTCCTCCCACGAACCGCCCCGCCTCGTTAGTTCGTTCGGCCGGCCGGCCAGCGGAGACCCGCCAGGCCCGACGCAAGGGCAGAGGGCACCTTCTGGACGCTGATGGCGTCGACGTACTTGTACTTGATGGGACGCCTCCCCTCACGTCTGCGCGATGCGAAAAAAAGACGATGCTGGGTTTCGTATTGGCCATACTGTCAAACACACCCTGGAGGTAGTCCCGGTTTCACGGAAGCGCCGAAAGACCTCTGGCATTCCAGCTTGTCAAGACGCCTTTAATATTTCAGCGGCTTTGGCTTGTTCGGGTATTCGTTTCAACGTGGTTCCAACCAAGAAGGCGCCGCCTCCAGCGGCGTCACCTGGGGCAACTTTCGGAGAAGAGAAAATTCGCGCGCCGCGCCCCGCAATTGCGCGACGGACGGTTATCTTCGCGGCCTTGCACAAATCACCTTGACAAAGGGCAGCTTGCGGGTGTGACGCAAGCGGGCCGTCGAGATGACCCGGCTCCAGATGTTGTCCCCTAAGTGCGTGCGTGGTCGTGGGGGGTTCCCCTTCCTACTGAGCCTTCCTCCTGTCTTCTGCACCAGGTGCCTTTTCTGCTCTTGCCGCCCTCCTGCTTTGAGCAACGGGCGGCCTCGTCCTGCCTCCCTGGCCTTTTTTTCTGCCCGGAGCAGCGGGCGCTCTCCCCCTCTGCCTCCTCGGCCCCCTTCCTGATTCTTGCGTCGGTTTCTTGTCCCCCTTCTCGTCGATGCTCGGCGCCCTCCCTGGCTCCCCTTCCTCTCCTGCTGCCCTCCTCTTCGCGGCCGCGGCCGCGCTGTGTGCCTGCGGCGGTGTCACCCGCGGACCCGGCGCCGTTCCTGTCGGCCTTCGGCGTCGCCGCCCTTTTCCGCTTGCATCGTCCTCGTCGGCGCGCGGCGCCGCGCAACGCCCACCCGGAGATGCCCTCGTGCGTGTCTGCGCGGGCTCCCGCTTGCCATCGTTCGGGCGACCACTCCCCGGGCATGATTCGGGGTCTCGCGCGCTAAAATTTCGCAGAGTGGTCCAGGATGTTCCCCGAGGGTCCTCGCCGGGAAACATGCGCACGTCTGAGCGATACCAAGCCCACAACGACGACGACGACCACGACGACGACGGCGACGACCACGACGACGACGACGCGGGGGCCCCCTGCCCGTGGCGGCGTTTTTTTTGAGCATGGACCGACCGTCCCGACCGCTCCGGCATGCGTAGAGGCCTGCCACAACATGCTCTGAGAGCCCAAAAGATGACCCAAAAACGACAAGGAGGTTCTCAGAACAGCTCCCCGATGTGTTAACACAAGACAGTCTCAGCCAGACATGGACCAAGAACACTTCGCGCAGACCACAAAAGGCTCGTAGAAAATTATATGGTGGGCCTATAGGCAAGCTGCGCTACTGCTCCGCCTGCGCGGCGCGCTGCGCCCTGCTGCTGGCCAGTGCCGCGGAGGACACGAATGCGCCTGCCAGGAAAGCTGCCGGCTCCCTGCTGCTCGCCGCCGCTGTTTAAACAGCGTGGGTCCTGCGAGGATCGTGGCTCTCCCACCTGTGGAGAGCGGAGCCGATCCACTTGGTGCGCCGCCAATGCGCGAAACATGTATGCCGTCATACTTCCATGAACACATGGGCAAACGCCTTCGGTCTGCGCCACTCCCGGCTGCCCCTGTCCAGGCTGATATTTCGGTCGAGCCCGCGCGACGCCAAGCTCAGTCCCCCGTCAGCGTCCATCCCGTGGCCTTGTGCATTGGGGCGACGCGTCGGTGTCGTGTGTCGGTGCCTGCCAAGGCGCGCTCTGGCCGCGATCCTCGCCGGCGCCATCACCGCAGCTTGTAGCACCCGATATGCGACGTCGAATCTATGCCTCTGCACCCAGTTTTACGCATACCGAAACCGTACGCCGCCGGAGGCCGATAGCACACTTCACTGCGGTTTGCGTTCTCTCCATGCCCCGTTCACGCGGCGTGTTGTTGATCCACCATGACTCTACCAAACTGATGGGCCCCGCCGCCAGCACCTTTCGCAGGTCTCGCGGCTGCAGGGGGAGCAGCGTCGCGAGGCGCGCCTGCTGTAGCGTGTTTACGATGTTCGTAATATTCGTCTTATTCTTATAATTCGTATGATTCGTATTATGCGCATTCTTGTTCTCATAATTTCTCGTCCTATTAATGCTGATATTTGTTGTACCGCTGTGATCGCCATTACTATTCGCAGAATGTTGCTATTATCATAGGTAGTAATAATATAACGAGTATTCGCCTTCCCCTTACCATTCGTAATACCGTTATAATACTATTAGTACGGACATTCGTTTTCATTGCATTTGTATTCGTATTAGTGATAATACTATGATCCATACTGCTCCGATGCTTCTTTGTACGACTATCATCATGCTACGCACTATTTCACCGTATTCTCACTCCTAGTTCCTAGTATTAATGTGCTCCTCGTCCTTCTAATACTTACGATTCGGATCCATAGTTTTCCACTTCTTACTATATTCCTTGGCCAGCTTCTGGCCTCTCATAAGTTTCGTTCCCAGGACCTCCAACTTGTCTCGGATCCTGTCCACGGGAACCCCCTGCTGCAGCAGCTGTCGGCGTTTTCTCGGCGCCACCGCCGCCCACTGCTGTTTGCCTTCGTTTCCCTTGAGACCCAGAACTGGAGCCCATTCCCTCAACACATCCGCGGACCTGACGAGTTCCAGAAGCGTGGGTGCTGTCCACGTCCTGTCGCTCATGCAAAGGGTGAACTCCGCCCGCGGCCCCACTGCTTGCGCCTCGAATAGCGGCCCGGCCAGCACCACTGTGATTGCCAGCGGGGACCACCGGTCTCCCTGGGGGAAAAACCCGTCAACCCCGTTCTAGTTCTAGTAGCGTGGCCCCGCCCTGCTGCATCCATCTTTACTGCGTCGCCCACTGCGTGGCCAAAAGTGGTCCGCAGCGCGGCCAGCATTCTTAGCAGCAGCCTCAGCGCCTCATCTGCGGCCCAGGGGTCCGCGCAGTCGAAGCACAACGAATTATCTGAGGTGGTCCTGTACGCCCGTGCCTCCACGTGTTCCATGATGACCGCCGCAGCGTCTCAGCCCGCGACGTGCGAAACGCGGTGATCTTGGCGCCCGTGCGGGTGGCATGGAAGCAAAAACAGAAGAGGCGGTTAACACTACCTTGCCAACGTGGGCCCCAAACAGGAAGTTGGAGCACTGTGCATGTCCAAGCTCTGTAAAAAAACTATATGGTGTTAGCTACGCGGGGCAACTTATGTGTTGCAAGCGTACGTGGTGCAACCTAGATGTGGCTCAAGCTGCGCAGCTATGTGGTGCAAGCTATATGGTGCAAGCTATGTGGCGCAATTCGCTAGTGCTCACTAGTGTGTTGTCAAAACCATTGCTCGCGCAATCACACACCCTCCCACCAGCAACTTGTTTTGCACAACCCTTGCGGCCGCGATTGCGGTGACTCCTTGGCGCTGGCTGGCGCAGCTCTGCGGCTGCGATAGCGCGCGCAAGTTCGCGCGCAGAGCGGCCAGCTGGTTTGGCACAACCGATGGTAACTGCTCAGCGCGTCTTCGGGGCCGCGCTGGCGCTTTAATGCGAGTCGGTGACTCGGGCGGGCGCGGTACAAGGATGACGTCGACAACGACGGCAACGATGATGGCAGTAGCGATGGTGGTGGCGAAGATGACGAACACGACGGCAAGGGCAATGACGGCGACGATGTTGGTGACGACGATGGCGATGATGATGTCCATGTGACGGTGATGAAGCTGCTTGAATGATGATGGATGCAATGGCGGCGATTGTCGATCATGGCGTGTTGCTGCGGCGCTGGTGAGGGTGATGGTTAGGAAGTGCGCGCGCGAGCCGAAATGCAACAAACTTGACAGACTTGTTGTTGAAGAGCACGTGGCGTTCAAGATATAGTTAAAGAGCTCTATCTTGAAATGCTTAGGCAACCAAGTGTGGCCAGCATAGCACTGCTTGATACAGCTTCGTGAGCTGGGCGCATGCTGACGTGGATACACCGCATAGTGAAATGCTAATGCGGGTCCTGGGCGAGATAGCTAGAATCAAATATGTTTCCCATAGTTTCAACAAGAACTCCGCGCGGATATAACATCTGCACGAGTGGCGAATGTATTCAATGATTTATGTTGACAGGCTCGCGAACAATACGTAACATATACGATCTCGACATGTGCGCGCGTCTGGATTTCGTGTCTTTGTTTCGCCAGGGAGCATTGGAAGATTACTATCCTTTGCGCTGAAAGGGCGCGCGCGTAATATTGTTTGACAGGTATGGTGGGAGCTTCAAACGGTTGGCCTGGAATGGTATGAGTTCAAATGGGAAACAAGCGGCGAGACATAATCTGATGTAATTTGCCATGTCCCAGGGGGTACGGATAAGTTCATCCTCAGGAGGGCGGCGGATCCTATGTTCCTTTTGAAAGGAGAATCTATGTGGTGCGAGCTCTATGTGGCCACGCAGCGCAAGGGGCGCCCACGAAGCGCCCACGACCGGGCAACAACCCCTCACCAGACGAACCCTCGGCAAACCACGGCAAACCCCCCAGCGCAAGGGGCGCCAACGAGGCGCCCACGACGATTCTCCAAGCGGTCGTCCGCCAGGCGACGTCTCCGTTACACACACACAACGCACAGGGCGCCCACGAGGCGCCCACGACCGGGCACCAAGAAGGTACCAGGCGAAACCTTGGCGAACCCACCCAGCGCAAGGGACGACTGCCCACGACCAGTGCTCGGGGCACCCACAATGCGCCAACGACCGAGCGCCAACCAGGCTCCCCTTTGGCAGCCGGACACAGAATCCTCCAGTGCAAGCGCTGCATGGGGAACTCTTACAAAGCCAGGTGCCTTTTATGTGAAAGATCAGCCCCGAGCCAGAGCAAGGTCGCCGAAATGAACGGACCCTACAGTCGGACCTGGGCCAGAAAAACATCCTTCAGGAACGTGAGACCCTCCGCCGGCCAAAACAAGCACCATGAAGGTACCCTCGCCAGGATTCACAAGAGCATCCAACAAGCACGAAGAGCACGAAAATACCCTTCCCGAATCGACCTCGATCTTCTATTGAGCAGGGACCGACCGTCCCGGTTTTCCAACAGGCCTATCGCGACATGTTCCCAGAACCCAAAACAAATCTTAGAACAAACACAATGTTTCTAGAACATGCGCCCGATGTGTTAAGATAAGACGGTATCAACCAGAAATGTTCTAAGAACATCCCGTGCAGACAACCAGAAATCATCAGAACACTCTCTCGTAGGTCTATAGGCAGGCCGGGCCGCTTCGCCGCTGCTCGATTATACCTCGGTCCGACGGTAGTCATGCAAACTCTCCCTGCCGCAGTGTCCTTCGCTTCCCCGCAGGGTTCGGGGAGGGGGAGGCAGAGAGTGGGCAACGGGGGAAGGCACGCGCGCAGGAATGAACATCAATGGTGTCCCCATCCGGTACTCATCGCCGACCCGCTCGCCCTCGCCTTACTTGGAGAAAAGAAGGACATACCGAGACGGCCACCCCCTGAGACCTCTCGTCGGGGGTGCGTTCGGATCGGGACTTCCCGGCGAATCCAGCGGCAGGTGACCGAGACGTGGCAAGAGATCCAGGATTTTCTTCCCCTGGCGGCCGAGACGGAGGCAACTCACGACAGCACAACTCCTGGGGTGCCTTTTTGGCACCCGTGTCGATTCGCACTGGTGCCCCCGCTCCCCACTTGGTCTGCAGCGCGTCGTCCAGGCAGTCGACCCAGGTCTTCACGTCCTTGAAGGGGTGGAAGGCCGCGGACATGCTGTCGGAGCAGACCGCGCCGGTGCAGCTGTGGGTCGCGGGTGGGAGGGAGGGTAGACTCCTACGTATAGGGCAGAGGAACCACCCTCCAAATAAACACCCCGACAAGCGAAGGGGGGGGGAGTTCGAACCGCACCTCCCCGGGCGAGATTAGTGAACTCGCGATTCTACGAGTGTTGGCCCAACTCGCAGTTTTACTGATTTTGGCCCTCCTCCTCCTCCTCCTCCTCCTCCTCACCCTTTTTCTTCCCCTCTCCTCCTCCTCCTGCTTCTCCTCCTGCTCCTCCTCCTCCTCCTCCTTCTGCTCCTCCTCCTCCATTCCTCCTCCTCCTCCTCCTCCTCCACCTTCTGCTCCTCCTCCTCCTTCTGCTCCTCCTCCTCCTCCTCATCCTGCTCCTCCTCCTGCTCCTCTCCTCCTCCTTCTCCTCCTCATCCGCCTCCTCCTCCTCCTGCTCCTCTCCTCTTCGTTTCCTCCAACCAGGAGACGAAATCTGTGAACTCGCGATGAGACTACGTTTGTTATCCTCCTCCTGCTCCTCTCTGCCTCCTCCTCCTCCTCCTCTTCCTCCTCTTCCTCCCCCTCCTCCCCCTCCTCCTCCTCCTCCTCCTCGTCCTCCTTCTACACCTCCGTCATAATATCAGTATTACTGTTAGTGTGAGTATTAAAACAATAATGTGACGAAGAGTATCACTGGTATTGGTGCTAGTACTATTCGCCGTAGGACTGTTATAGTTCTTAGTTGGTTCCCTCAGTACGCTCAATAGCATGAGTTTGATTATGACTGCTACCTTTCCGGTTTATACGTAGTAGAAGTACCAGCCAGTAGTAATAATAGTAGCAGCAGCAGTGGTAGTAGTAGTAGTAGTAGCAGCAGCACCAGCAGCAGCAGTAGTAGTAGTAGCAGCAGCAGCAGCAGCAGCAGCAGCAGTAGTAGTAGTAGTAGTAGTAGTAGTAGTAGTAATAGTAGTAGTAGTAGTAGTAGCAGTAGCAGTAGCAGTAGCAGTAGCAGTAGCAGTAGCAGTAGCAGTAGCAGTAGTAGTAGTAGTAGTCGTCGTCGTCGTCGTCGCCGTCGTCGTAGTAGAAGTAGTAGTAGCAGTAGTCGTAGTAGCAGTACAGGAGTAGTAGTATAGTAGTAGTAGTAGCAGCAGTAGTAGTCGTAATAGTAGTGGTAGTCGTAGTAGTACGAGTGGCCGTAGAAGTAGAAAAAGAAGTATACGTACACGTAGAAGAATATTAGTAGTAGTCGTAATAGTAGTAGTAGTAGTAGTAGTAGTAGTAGTAGTAGTAGTAGTAGTAGTAGTAGTAGTAGTAGTAGTAGTAGTAGTAGTAGTAGTTAGTAGTAAGTAGTAGTAGTAGTAGTAGTAGTAGTAGTAGTAGTAGCAGTAGTAGTAGTATTATTGGTGGTGGTGGTTGTGTGGTGGTGTGGTGGTAGTAGTATAAGTAGTTGTTGTAGTTGTACTACTACCATTAAGTCATTAGGAGAAGTAGTCCGTAGTAGTATTATTAGTAGTAGTCGTAGTAGTAGTGTAAGTAGTAGTCTAGTAGTAAGTAGTAGTAGTTAGTAGTTGTAGTAGTAGTAGTCACGTCAAGTAGTAGTAGTGAGTAGTATAGTAGTGGGTAGTGTAGTATTGAAGTATAGTAGTCGTAGTAGTACGTAGTAGTAGTAGTGAGTAACAGTAGCAATGCATAGCCAGTAACAGTCGCAGTAGCGTAGTAGTAGTAATAGTATGAATCGTAGTATAGTAGTAGGAGTGAAGTAGTAGTAGTAGAAGTAGCAGTAGTAGTAGTAGTAGTAGTAGTAGTAGTAGTAGTAGTAGTAGTAGTAGTAGTAGTAGTAGTAGTAGTAGTAGTAGTAGTAGTAGAAGTAGTAGCTGTAGTAGTAGTAGTAGTAGTAGTAGTCGTCGTAGTCGTAGTAATCGTAGTCGTAGTCGTAGTCGTAGCCGTAGTCGTAGTAGTAGTAGTAGTAGCAGCAGCAGTCACAGTAGTAGTAGTAGTAGTAGTCGTAGTAGTAGTAGTAGTAGTAGTAGTAGTAGTAGTTATAATAGTAGTAGTAGTAGTAGTAGTAGTAGTAGTAGTGGTGGTGGTGGTAGTAGTAGTAGTAGTAGTAGTAGTAATATTCGCCTTTTTCTCATTATGCTGACTATTCTCCTTTTCCCCCTCCTCCTCCTCCTCCGCCTCCTCCGTCTCCTCCTGCATCTCCTCCCCCTCATCCTCCTCCTCCCCCTCCCCCTCCCCCTTCCCTTCCCCCTGCCCATCCTCCTCCCCCTCCCCAATCCACCTCCCCCCGCCTCCTCCTCCTCCTCCTCCTCCTCCTCATCCTCTCCTCCTCCTCCTCCTCCTGCTCCTGCTCCTCTCCTCCTCCTCCTCTCCCCTCCTGCTCCTCCTGCTCCTCCTCCTGCTCATGTTCCTCCGTTCCTCCTCCTCATCCTCCTCATGTCCTGCTTTCCCTCTCCTCCTGCACCTTCTCCTCCTCCTACTCCTCCTCCTCCTCCTCCTCCTGCTCCTCTCCTCCGTCTCCTCCTTCTCGTCCGCCTCCTCCTTCAATTTTCCTCCTCCTCCTCCTCCTCGCTCCTCTCTCTCCTCCTCTCCTCCTCCTCCTCACTTCCTCCTCCTCCTTCCTCTTCCTGCTCTCTTCCTGCTCCTCCTGCTCTCCTCCTCTCCACTTCCTCCTTCTCCTTCCCCCTTCTCCTTCCTCCTCTCGTTCTTCTGCTATCCTCTCCTCCTCCTGATTTGTGATTGTGTGGCCTCTGCGGCAAGCGGCGATGGCGACGGCGATGGCGACGGTCGGACGGGTCGGTAATGTGACACGATGGGGGGAAAATATGTCGCAATCACCGGGGACGCCTTTTGGGCGGCGGGCGGGACATTAAATATACGATTCGCTCAGGGATGGAGCGTTCAGTCGGGCGGGCGGGCGGGACATTAAATGCAACCTTCACCCTGTAATGAGACAAGATGTGGGGAACATATATCGCAACCGCCAGAGGCGCCATTCCGGCGGGCGGGACACTAGAGATACGATTCTCTCAGTGATGGAGCGCTAAGTCGGGCGGACGGGCGGGACATTAAATGCAACCTTCACTCTGTGATGGCATCAGATGGGTGCATTACAACCACTGGGGGCGCCGTTCGGGCGGGCGGGCGGGGCATTAAATATACGATTCACCCAGTGATGGAGCGTTCAGTCGGGCGGGCGGGTGGGACATTGAATGCAATCTTCACTCAACGATGAGTCAAAGTGGGGGAAACCTATATATAATGTGTCTATATATCACAAACGCCGGGACGCCGTTCGGGCGGGCGGTACACTGAATATACGATCCACTCAGTGATGGGGCTTTCAGTCGGGCGGGCGGGTGGGACATTAAGATTCAGTGCAACCTTCACTCTGTGATGAGAGAAGATGGGGAACATATATCACAACCATGGGGGACGCCGTTCGGGTGGGCCGGACATGTAAATACACGATTCACTCAGTGATGGGGCTTTCAGTCGGGCGGGCGGGCGGGACAGTCAATACAACCTTCAATCAGTGATGGGGGCGAATCATCATCAACATCATCATCACCATCATCACCATCATCATCATGGTCATCATCGTCATCATCGTCATAATCGTTATCATCGTCATCAGCATCAGCATCAACATCACCATCACCATCACCATCATCATCATAATCATGATCATGATAATGATCATGATCATGATCACCATGATCATGATCATCATCATCATCATCATGATCATCATCATCATCATCATCATCATCATCATCATCATCATCACATCATCATCATCATCATCATCATCATCATCATCATCATCATCATCATCATCATCATCATCATCGTCTGGCGCCGGCGCTCGCCGTCGTCGTTGCAAGGGGGTTTGGGGGGGGACCTCCTGGTTCGAACCCCCTCTCCCCCCTGCAACTAAGGGGGGGGGTGGGCCGGTTCGAGCCCCCCTCCCCCCTGCAACTCGAGGTGGGGTGGAGGGGGGGGCCACGTCGAACCTCCCCGCCCCTCCCCGCCTGGACAGAGGGGTGGGGGGGGCGGTCCGACACCCCTGCACCTCCGGGGGGGGGGGCGGGGGGCCGGTTCGAACACCCCCCCTTTCCCCGCGTCCACAGAACGCGCTCCTTCTGAACTCCACGTCGCTCTGCTGCGCACTTCGCGCCCGACGACGCGCGGCGCGCGGCTGCCTTCGCGCCCGCCCGCGCTGTCAATGGGAAGAGGGCACCTTTGCAGACCAGGCCGCGGAGTGAAGAGGGCGATGACCTTGGCGCCCCTGAGGGTGATACGGATAAACTGTCGCCGCTCCGTACCCACCATGCACCACTGGTCGATCCCCCGACCCCTCCCCATGAGGAGGCCCGAATGCGGCGCCACGTGGCAGAACATTCACTGAACCCAGCATTGTAGGAACATGGTAAAACAGGTTGACTGGCTGCATGTGCCCCGACACACCTGACACTCTCACTCTTCTTCCTGTTCCTCCTCATCCTCCTCCTCCTCCTCTTCATGCTCCTCCCCCTGCCGATCCTCAGGCTCCTGCCTCGTCATTTCGTCTTTCATCCTCGCACTCTCCCTCTCTCCTCCCCCTCCTCTTTCTCGACGTGCCCTCCTCAGGTGGCAGGGAAGGCATAGCGCCCCAGCCTGTTATCGCCCACAAGCTCGAAGTCGTTAACGCGCGTGACGTGGATGTGGTCCATGCAGTGAGTGAGGTAGTAGTCCTCGGGATGGCGAGACCCTCGCTGTGAACATCAATCCACTCCCTCCTCGAAGGAGAACGAATACAGCTACTAGTGCTACTGCTGCTGCTGCTGCTGCTGATGCTACCACTACTACTTCTATTGCGATTACTACCACTACGACGGCTACGACTACGGCGGCAACTGCTACTACTGCTGATACTGCTGATACTACTACTACTACTACTACTACTACTACTACTACTACTACCACTACTACTACTACTACTACTACTACTACTACTACTACTACTACTACTACGACTACTACTACTACTACTTCTACTATTACTACTAACTGCTCCGACTCCTACGACCTTACTGCTTCTCCTCCTACTACTACTACTGCTTACTGCTACTACTACTACTACACTACTAACTACTACTACGACTACTACTACTACGTGCTCTACTACTGCTACTACTACTACTACTACTGGAGTGACTAACCTACTAACTAACCGACTACTGCTACTACGACTAACTACTACTATACTACTACTACTACTACTACTACTACTACTACTTGCTACTGCTACCTGCTCCTACCACTACTACGACTATTACGACTACTAAACGAACTACTACTAACTATACTGCTGCGACGTCGACTACTACTGCTTCTACTACTACTACTACTACTACTACTACTACTACTACTATTACTACTACTACTACTACTCCGCCTACTACTACTACTACTACTACGACTACTACTACTACTACTACTACTACTACTGCTACTACTACTACTACTACGACTACTACTACTACTACCACGTTTACTACGACTACTGCTCTTACGATTGCTGCTACTTCTACTGCTGCTACTCCTACTATTCATACTACAACTACTACGGCTACGGGGGGGGGCTACCACTTCGACTACTACTACGACTACATCTACGACTTCGACTACCAATGCTCCTACTACGACGACTACTACTACTACTACTACTACTGCTACTACTACTAACTACTACGACTACTTCTCCTACTACTAACTACTACTACTACTACTACCTACTAACTACTACTACGACTACTACTGAACTACTACTACTACTACTACTACTGCTACAATACTAACGACTACGCTCAATACCCTACTCAGCTACTTACTACTGCTACGGCTACTACTACGACTGCACCTATTGTCCTCGACCTACGACTTCGACGACGGCTACTACTACAACTACTACTACTACTACTACTACTACTACTACTACTACGACTACGACTACTACTACTACTACTACTACTACTACGACTACTACTACTACTACTACTACTACTACTGCTGCTGCTGCTACTACTACTACTATTGCTACTACTTCTACTACTGCGACTACTACAACTACTACTACTACTACCACCACTACCTCTACTACTGCGACTACGACTACTACTACGACTACTACGATTACTGCTACTACTTCGACTAGCATTACTACTACGACTACTCCTTCTACTCCTGCTACTACTACCGCTACACGTTCACTACTATGTCAACCACTACTGAGACTGAGACTAGAACTACGACCCCGGCTACTACTACTACCACTAATACGGTTACTACTACTACTACTACTACTACTACTACTACTGCTACTACCACTACGGATACTACTACTACTACTACTACTACTACTACTACTACTACTACTACTACTACTACTACTGCAACTGCTAGTACTACTACTACTACTACGACGACGACGACGACTACTACTACTACTACTACGACCGCTACTACTACTACTACTACTACTACTACTACTACTACTACGACTACTACTACTACTACTACTACTACTACTACTACTACTGCTAACTGCTGCTAATCGTGCTAATACTACTCATGGTACACAAAGTGCACCAGTACTACTACCACTGCTAAGACCACTACTAACCACTACTACTACTACTACTACTACTACTACTACTACTACTCTACGAACTAACACTACTACTACTACTTACTACTACTACTACTACTACACTACCACTACTACTGTTTTACTACTACTACTACTACAGCACTACTTCTCCTACTACTATACTACTACTACTACTACTCTACTACTACTACCACTACTCTACTCTATCCACTCTCACTACTACTACTACTACGCCACTCTACTACTACTACTACTACTACGCACTACTTCCACTACTATACTGATACTACTACGTACTACGACTACTACTACTAACACTACTATACTACTACTACGACTACTATACTACACGACTAAACTTAAACTACGACTACTACTACGACTACTACTACTACTACTACTACTACTACTACTTCTGCTACTGCTACTACTACTACTGCCACTACTACTACTACTACTACTACTACTACTACTACTACTACGGCTACTATTACAACGACCACTCACACGACTACGACTACGACTACGACTACTACTACCACTACTACTACTACTACTACTACTACTACCACGGCAACTACGATTGTGACTACGACTACGACTACGACTACGACTACTACAGCTACTACTGCTCCGACTCCTGCTGCTACTACGAGTACTGCTGCTGCGATTGCGACCACTACTACTGAGATGACGCTTGCGACGACTACCAGTACTACTAAAGCTACGGCGACGCTTACCAGTACTACTACTACTACTAATAATAATAATAATAATACTACCACTACGGCGCTTACTAATAGTGCGCACTACTCCTCCATCCTCCGACTGATACTGCTACGACTTTGGATTCCATTTCGACCACTCGTACTACTACTATTAATACTACTGCTGCTACTACTACTACTTCCACGACTACTACGACTACGGAGACTGCTACTACTACGACTGCTACAACTACTACGGCTACTACTACTACTACTACTACCACTACTACTACCACTACTACTACTACTACTACTACTACTACTACTACTACTTCTACTTCTACTACTACTACTACTACTGCTACTACTACTACTACCACTACTACGACTGCCATTAGTACTACTACTACGACGGCGACTACTTTTACTGCTAGGGCTACTACTCTCTACTTACTCTAACTCTACTACACTACTACTACTCCTAGAAATCTAGACTCACGGCTACGACTACGAACCAATACTACTACTACTAACTACTACTACTTACTACTACTAATACCACTACTACTACTACGACTACGAATTACTACTACTAACTACTTGAGACTGAATACTAACTACCACGGCTACTGCTACTACTACTACTAACCTACACTACTACTACTACTGCTACCGGCTACTGCTACTACTACTACTGCTACTACTACTAACTACTACTACTATACTACTACGACTACGACTACGATACTACTAACTTGCTACTACTACTGCTACTAACTACTACTACTTCTACACTAATCTACTAACTCTACTAACTACTAACTCATACTACTACTAACTACTACTACTACTACAACTACTAACAACTAACTACTACTGCTACTACTGCTACTACTACTACACTAACTACTACTACTACTACTACTAACTAACTACGAACTACACTACTACAACTATTAACTACTAACCTACGACGACTACTCACTACTTACTACTACTCCTACTACTACTACTGACTCCTACTGACGACGACTACTACTACTACTACTACTACTACTACTACTACTACTACTACTACTACTACTACTACTACTACTACTACTACTACGGCTACGACTGCGACGACGACTACTACTACTACTACTACTACTACTACTATTACTACTACTACTACTACTACGACTACCTTCAAAGGCTGCGGCCACTATTACTACTACTACTACTACTACTACTACTACTACTACTACTACTACTACTATTGCCGCCGCTATTGCTACGACTACACATCATACGAACACTACTACGTCGTCTACTACTTTCACTACTACTACTACTACTACTATTACTACTACTACTACTACTACTACTACTACTACTACTACTACTACTACTACTATTATTATTACGACTCGTACTACTTCTACCGCTACTGCTACTACTACGATTACTACTACCACTTCTACTACTACTACTAATACTACTACTGCCACTACTACTACTACCACTACTACTACTACTACTACTACTACTACTACTGCTACTACTACTCCTGCTGCTACTACTACTACTACTACTACTACTACTACTACTAGGGCTGACTGGGGGATGGTGGCCGGGCAGTTCGTCGGTGAGACGACTTGAGGGTGGTGATGGAGGCTTCGCGTTTCCAGCGGCTTTCACAAAAAAATAACCTGGCGAAAGACCCAACCATACGCAATTGTGGCTACCGCAATTGTGAATAACATCTTCGCCCGCGCTCCCGATGTGGCCACAACTTCCCGCCGGAGCCCGACATGCTCAGGAACACGTTCGTGGCCGTCTTCGCGGGCGCCGACGACGACGAGGACGGCGCCCCCCTGACCGAGGAGCAGAAGCAGGAGAGGGCTCTAAGAGCCATGAGGGAGGCTGCCACTGGGGCCTTCGGTGGAGCTCCTATGGGGCCACGATCCTCGTGAGGGGTGTGCCGAAATGGCCCGAGGCCGCCATGCGAACGCAGCCACTGGAGCCTTCGGTGGAGCTCCTATGGGGCCACGATCCTCGTGAGGGGTGTGCCGAAATGGCCCGAGCCGCCATGCGAACCTGCCACTGGCGCCTTCGGTGGAGCTCCGTATGGGGCCACGATCTTCGTGAGGGGTGTGCCGAAATGGCCCGAGGCCGCCATACGAACCCTGCCATTGGCGCCTTCGGTGGAGGCCACGATCCTCGTGAGGGGTGCGCCACAATGGGGCGGGGCCGCCATGCGAACGCTGCCACTGGGGCCTTCAGTGGAGCTCCCTATGGTGCCACGATCCTCGTGAGGGGTGCGCCGAAATGGGGCGGGGCCGCCGTGCGAACGCTGCCACTGGGGCCTTCG